CTAAGCCCTGACAGACTCTCACTGACCACAACCTCCCAAGGTCACGTCTCTTTTGCAAAAGAAGATATTTAATTCACTACAATGCACCTCACAAAATAGGAACATTATAACGGTAGGAATGGAATAAAGACATAGGCATGGATGGAAATGAGTTTGAGCTAGTCCATATTTACTCTACTGCCTTCGGTGACTGTGGTTAGACACGAGATCTGCCCTTCCTTAAATTCAGTAAGCAAGATCCATTAAATGTCTCCTAAGAGCTCAATGCTATGCCCTCAGCCCCCAGCACAGGGCCTGCTGTACACAGTATCTACTCAATAAATATTTATTCAATGAATCAATGAGTAAACAAATAAATCAATGAGTAAATGAATTATAAGAAGTATAACACCAAACTATTAGCAATGGTTTTTCCCCCCCTGGCAAGTAAGATAGAAAGGAGACTTTCAGTTTTTACTGAATTTAATGAGTAAAGATTTCATTATTTTAAGACAGTCTTGGGCAGCATATAAAAGGGGCACATAAAGGATAAAGTCCGAGTTCACTGGCACCATCCTAGAGCTCACATAGTTGGAGAAGCCCATCTCCATCCACTGTCACCCGCACACTGCAGCAGAAACTCAGAGTTCACAATCTCATGATGGGTGACAAGTGTCCAAGTGGCCCACAGAAGCCTGAGGGAACGAACCCCACAGCCATGCCAAGATGCTCAGGCTTCAGGGTGCAGAGGCCTCACCCAGGAGATTGCACAGTGCTTGTCAAAATGCAGAATGTGGAACCTTGTGCCCAGAAATGTTCACCTGGCAGGTCCAGGCACTTTGGAGAATGACAGTCGCTGCTACAGGGAGCATTCCCACCTGAGACCCCCGTCTTTCCTCTAGAGCCCAAGAGCTCTGTAGGAATTGGGCTGACTCTCCTGAGCTCCCCAAAAGAAGCCTCACTCAGGGGCTCAATCAACCCTGGCAATGGCCCATGGCCTCAGGCTCTAGTTCTGAAAAATAGGCAGGGGCCTCATTTTTATGAATGAACTTCTTCGCACAAGTAAGAGTCAACTGTGAAAATCTGAATAAGATAAGTGAGTTGTATTGATCTTGGTATCCTGGTTGTGACACTGTACTAGAGTTTCAGGGATAACAGGCAAAGGGGACATGAACTGCTCTGTATTATTTATTACAACCACACGTGAATCCTACAATGACCTCAACAAAAATTTCAACTCAAAACAATTCAATCCTCCCACATTGCACAAACGAACAACCATCCAACTCCCAATATGGCATTGAAATAAGATAACCCCTCTGCAAATTAGACAAATGAATAGCACTGCTCAAGCAAGCACAGTTCCTGCCTTGGCCATTTCAGGTCTATAAAATACTATCCAGCAAAGACAGCCTTTTCCAGAGCAAATCACAAAAGCCTACAAGTTCTGGGCAGAATTTACGCCAGATGTAACAACTGACAACATGCAGGCTCCGAGTCGGCAGGTTGCGAGTCCTGTTCCAACCAGGCATCCCAACCTGCACACAGCGAGCCAAGTGCCTTCTTCTCTGCAACAGTCGCCAAGGGCGTGGACAAAAAGTGGTCTGTCCCCTTC